TTGGCATACAAGCGTGTATATTTCAAAAGTACGTTCGTCAAATAGTAACACGTAAATAGATAACTATATATATATATATATAGAAAGAGAGAAAGAGATATGATTTCGAAGTATATTTACAATCTTGATTGAACCGGACTTAAATAGGAAGACGAAAACGTTGTCTTGAAAAATACAGATAAAGAAGTTATATTAAAGTGGAAGTAACGTTTTTTTTTTTACATTAATAAAACGTCGAGAAATACATTTTGTTTTTTCAATCGAAAGTTCTCCATCCTCACTACATTAACCTAAATACCAATCAAATATGACGATTTCTTAAAAATTGTTTTTTTCTAACGATACTAATAAATACTGGCATTCAAATAGTTTCGAAATACTAAAAAGGAGCGTGAGTTTAATATACATATGTATATTTATATATATATTTATATATAGTTTACCCCTTAATTTTCAAACGAGTCTTTATAAAACGGTTATTCGACTACATTGACATAAAGGCTCAATGGAGGTCGAAAGGTTTTAAAAGGACGGAGGAGAGGGCAAAGGAATAAAAAATGTGTTTTGCGAAGTATCGCAGTCTTTTAACAATAAGCTATTTATACAAGTGAATATGACTAACTTCACTTGTAGAAGAACTGTTAAACAGCTGCCGTTTAATTAAACGCCATAAAGTAGTATGTATCATGTTTTCAGCGCGTTGACGACGGTAAAATTTCTCTTATATGTTATCACAGTGTTCGATGACACTCTCGTGTTAGAATTATTTTTTTTTTTTCTTTTTTATGACACGTCCTGAGATTCTACTCAAGTTAAGAATATCCATACGAATTGAATATCGATACGGATGATCGATGTTGATAGCAAAATACTTCGCTCTACAGCTTTGCGATTTCTTGGCACAATATCAAAAGAATTCGCGATTATTGCGAAATATCCACAGCCCTGAATTGGTTAAAGCATCAACTATTTTTTCTTTCCCTCTACGTGTATACCAATTTTAAGAAATCAATCAATTTTGCTATGTCCGTTTGACATGATTCATAGCAAAAGTTGCCTTAATTGAGATATTGAATCAAGTACGCTACGAAAAATCAAGAAATGTTATCACGAATGATTACAAAATAAAAATTTGATATTCGAGCGCATTTTATGTGCATTTAGATGTGCAAACGATCCGTTTATAGATTGTTGTTTTAAGCATCTCAGGTACGTAAAGCGTGGACGAAATTTTGTGCCCTGTTATGATGTGATTTTTTTATATCCACAAAAAATTTTTGTTCTTCATTTCGCAAAATTTGTCGTTTTGTTCCCAAAATAATAGATTTTTGAACGACTATTTTTCTCTTTAAATTGAGATCATGTTACTTTACATTAGATCAGGAGGTGGTCTTTGAAATGCGATGCTTGCTACCGAAATGCTGCAAAAACCGGCAGTTATCACTCCCAGAAATATATAAACAGCCGTAATTAACCAAAAGGCAAATAAATATAATGTTTTGTTACAATATTTGCCAAGAGCTGGATCATAATTTGGCTCATATTCCTTATATACCCACATTGAGCCTGTAGACAAAAATAAAAAATATAAAAATAAAAATTGTAAACATTTAATATATATGTAAGTTTTTATATTACTGACCTATAATAAACCAGCCAAGCATAAAACAATTAATTAATGTTTGTGTTGGAGATTGTCGTATTCTTTCTTCATCTCTTTCTTCTTGACGTTGCCGTACTCTTGCAGATAAATGTAATAACTGTTTAAAAACACCAAAACCACCACCCACTAATAAATAAACAGGAATATATTCTCCTTGTGGACAATCATAAAGATAAAGTCCTCCAATGACCATCATACATATTGGAACTACTATTGTTACTCCTAAGATAATAGTACATCCAACTGAAATTATTAAAATATTAAATTAATAACTCTTCATATTGAAATCTAATGAAGCATTAATTTTTACTTACTAGTGCCTAAAAGTAAGACGATAATATTTTTCAAAAAATCAAATACTCCTTTTGAAACTTTATGTGCTTCTCTCATACGACCAAATAATGAATCATAGGATGGAGGAGGAGCTAAACAAAAAAGAACAAAAATATTATATATATTATTTAGCCAATATTTTCATTTGATTGATGACTTGATAATAAAACATTAAGACTTTTTTTATTAAAAATATTATTACCATTTGGATCTATGGCTTCTTCATAAGAAGGAGGTGCACCACAATCATTAGTCAAAGTAGATGGGTGTCCCAAAGGTAAATTAATATTATGGTATGAAGGTGGAGGAGTATAACAAGTTGATGCTATTTCAGTGCCAGGATTTACACTTTCGTTCGTACTAACGAAATTACTTTGATTTAATTGGCTTAAAGGCATTTCTTCGCGTATATTTGTTGCTTGAAGCCAATGCATGGAGTTTGCATTAAATATTACTTGATGATTCGCCGTTGCCGCTATTGACAACAGCACACATATAATTTTATAACCTATAAATAACTTTCGTAACTTTGGTATTTTTATGTCGTTTAATAACGCATCACGTCAAAATATGGCACAAATTTTCGAAAAACGTATAAGTTGTGTAATTAAATTCAATGTTATACACTTTCGATTGAATCCGAATTGTTGACACATGTAAAGGAAAATAAACACTTTCCAGTATAATGTATGCTCTTTGAAATTTGCGTGGTGATAATTCGTTGGGGTTCAACGAACGATCAGAAAGTAAAACTTATATAACATTCAGTTTCATTTTGAAAGAAAAAAAAATATACCATATTCTAGGAATGCACAAACTGTCACACCCCCGTTTCAAGAAACACAAAACAATCTTATCGCACAAACCGGCATCTACAATTGATTATGCCCACTTTTCCATAAGCAAATCACTATAAAGTTGTTGCACTGCTAAAGCATGCAACATTTCTTATTGGTTTTGTAACATAACAGTATTATCTTTAAAGACACTACTAATTCGGGAAACTTATATACATTTGCGCCACAATAAACCATGTGCGGCATACATACAAATTAGACTCCGTATCGAATACTGGCCGATCGATGATATTCGATACTAGTCGATTTTGTCGAGGTTTTAATTTCAAATGCGGGAAATCTATAATTTTAAAATATTTTCAATTCTATGTAACAATATTCTTTATTACTTTATATAGCAATATTTGTACTAAGCAAAAATATTTATTCTGTAATAAATTTCTTTACGTTTATTCTATTTTTAATTTATTAATATAAATTATTATATACAATATATTAATAGAGAAAAAAATGTAAAACAATTTATATTTGATATATTTATTAAACAAAGTCTAATAAATGTTCTATTGTTTTCTTAATATCAATTTATTATTTTTTTTAAAAGATTATATTATAAACAAGAAAAGAAATACGAAAAAAAAAGAATAAAATAAATTCACATATTTTATATATAAATTTATTAATAATATTATAAATTATTATAAATTTAAAAATAATATTATAAATTATATTTTAGTTTAAATTGTTATATATTGCTGGTCATATGATATAATTAAAACTTATAATTATTGAATTCTATCATATAATAATATATCTATTTTATTATTACTTAATCTGAAATTAAAAAAGAAAAAATGAAATACTAATAATTTACTATGTAATTTCTTAGAGATTGCTTTTGATAATCTCGTTAAATAACAAGTTCGAAAATAGATGATATCTTGTTTATATTTTTCATTTTCCATTATATTATAGACAATTCTTCTTGCATGTTGAATTTTATTTCCCACAATTTCGTGCTCGATAAATGATTAAATGTTACGTAACCATATCTTATTTCATTTTAGTTATAATAACAAAAGGATAGGATTGTTAATTGATTATTATTTCAAAACAACTAATTATAATGACGATACAGGAAGCATATTGTAGTATACAGGAAGTCTTTTATGGCTTTAAATATGATCCGTGCATCAGTTGAAGAGTAAAGTTGTTTTTATAACAATTGTTTAATGTTTTCTGTTACAATCATGAAGTCACCAATTGAAAAATTGTTATTAATATTTGTTTTATGTATCATTTCATCTTCATATATACTGAACGTTAAGGTAAGATATAGAGTGTCTTATATATAGAGTATTATAAACTTTTGCATATTATTTTATTACTTTTTGAAACTATTGCATATATTTATTACATTAAAAAATCGTATATATTATTAATTTTAAAAAGTTATATTTATTAACTGATTTTAATTATTTTTAATTCTTATTTAAATAAAATTTTAATAAATCTATCATTTTATTTAAATAAAATAATATTTGAAATAATTTTTTTAAAAAATAGATAGATCTTTGTTATAATTTACTTAAACATATTTTTCTATTTTGTAATGACAATTCTTAAAAATAATTTTGAAAAATTTTTATTATTAATTTTTTTTAATTATAAAAATTCAGTGTACAAAATAATTTTAAAATAATAAACAAATAATATTAAAAATATAATGTTTTAATTCAATTATCATTTTTTTCAGGCAGAGAACAAAGTTACGATAAATAGCATTAAAATCGATGTCTCAAATGAAGATGTGCTCGAATCTTGGGATGCTAGTATTTCAAATAATCTAATTAATACAACGCCTAAAATAAAAAAGGATTGTCCAAGTTCATTAGAAGTATATTTCGATCTTAATTAAATACATTGTTTAAATATTATCTACATATATTTTAAAATACTATTTTCAAATATTTCAACATATCAGAAATAAATAGTTTTGTATAAAAAATTAGATATGTTTTCTAATCTTTTTACAGAATTTATTGATTGAACTAGAATAAAATAACATTTTTGTATTTTTTTCAGATAGATATCAAAATATATCAAGATGACCAGTTGGTAAGCCAAATGACAAAGCAGTCAGAAAAGCCGTTCAAGGATTTGGAAAATGCTAATTTATGTGCATCAGTTGAATATATAGATGAAGACGATGCATGTTCTGTTGCACCGGTAAAAAAATATATATATAATACAAAACATTTCTTTTTTTCTTAATCGAAATATTAAAATACACAGAAAAATAGATAATTCTTTCAGTAAATTATTATTATTATTGTTAATTAATTAATTATGATTAATCCTGATATATTTTCGATCAAAAAGAATTAATATTGACATATTAATATTATATTGTTTATTATATTACATTATTATTTGAATTTTCTTTTATTAATACTAATATTAATGCATTATTTTTAAAATAATATTAATGAATTATCGAATAGGGTGAACAAAGTGCTTCAGAATGTGATATAAGCTCGTTGTTAAACAGTATGAATCCTGGAAATTACAAAACTATATGCGATTTGAAGGAAAGTGACTCTGTATTCGCTACTGCGACATTGGAGATAACAGTAGAAGCTGAATAAAAGTAAGATAATTGATATCACTGAGGATTATTATTACATTTATTTTGACGTTTACAACATTTAACATTACTAATTATATGTATTATTACTTGTTGCTTGTTTAATATTGCAACAGAAACATTTTATCTTCCAAAGATTTTATCTTCCAAACTAAATAAAAATATTAGCATAGTTATTACATAACTCTTCATTTTTATGTAAACTCCTCTTCTAATCATAAAAACATTTTATATATTTTAAGAAACAATATTTTAACAATTTTCAAAATTTTATTTTTAATTGTAAATACATATATATTAATTTTCATTATTTTTAATTGGACACATTTCAAAAAGTTCAATAAATTGACTTGTCTTTGAAAAAGAAAGATAATAACAAAGCAAGAAATGAAGATACAAAAGAAGAATGCTAACTCTACTTATATTCTCAAATTTTTTTTTATCAAATATATTGTTTTTTTCTGGCAAAATACTTTTGATATTTGATTGAAATGTCTTCTTGTTTGAATCATCAAGTATTTTCTACTGTGCGATAATAATAAATAATATTATTTCAATATGATAACATTTTTTATAATTATTATTTCTTAATACAATAATAAAGTATACAATAATAACATTTTTAATATATAGTAATATATAATAATATTTATTATTTTTAAATAAAATAAAAATGCTTACTTCAATATTAGTATTTCTTTTCACATTTGATACTTTTGATGAATCAGTTTTTTTTTCAATATTTTCTATAGCAAAAAGCATTGTAATAAATCCTATTATCCTTTTAAATATATGTTAAACATATGACTAAAAAACTGTCTAAAATTATTAATTGATATATTATAAAATCAAAACTTACGTATAAAATGACAATTTGATTTTGTATTATTTCTTAAAAACATTAAATTTTGAAATTTTATTGGTGGATATCTTATTTTTTTTTATTTTTATTAACTTCCATTGGTTTATATGAATCATGCTGTTATTTCAAATAAATAGATTTAATAATTAAATGATTTAAATAATATTTAATATTACTTAAAAAATGTATGTAATTCATTTTATTATTAAATTTACTTTATTTTCTAATTTTCTTTTTTCCTGTAAATTTTCAATAAAATCTGAAATAATAAATGAATGCAAAATATTTGTATATAGATTTAAAAATAAAATTATTTTATTTGAAACCTTCTCTTGAAAAAAAACATCTTTTAGTGGATAAAACACTTTTTTTGGAAATTTTCCATTGAAAGAAGTTACATTCGTTGTACTTGAATCCTTTAAATTATAATTTATCGTATGAAACAAAAAAATTGGAAAATCAGAATTTAATTTTTCTTTTATAATGAAAAATTAAAAAAATAAAAAATTTTTTAAGTGAAAAATTTACCACATGTAAAGGCATCCAAATATGATCCCTGCCACCACGTAATCTTATCGTAGAATTTGCTTGGAAATAATGAAGAAAATTAATTAATTAATTCTCTTATAATAAACAAGAGAAATAAATATAATATATTTAATATAATAATACAATTAATTTAAATATAAAATAAAAATAATATAAATATTTATTTAATTATAATAATTAATGTTATGTTAATATGTAATAATATTTGATTTAATAAATAAAAAATTGTAAATAAATATAAACTAATGCAGTGCAATTAGAGGTTAAGTCATACTTTGAGTTAGATAGGTTACTCCAAAATTATCGCGCGATTTACAAACTCCACTTTTTGAATGAATTTTCATATTTTATTATATATGTTATAACTTTTAAATTACAGATTATTGTTAATCAATAGTAATAATCAATAATAATAATCAATATGAAAGAATGATTGACATTAATTATAAGTAGTAGCGGCGATCATTTAATTCAAGTTCCAATATATTTAATATTTTATTTTTTTTATCTGTATCAATTAACAATTATATATAATGATCGGCATATTTTTATTGTTATCCTTCTTGTGCAAAAAACTCATATAAACTTCACATCATAAAATTAAAATTATTTAAAATTTTAAAATTAATTATAAAAATCAAGAATCAAATATTTTTATATAAATATCTAAATAATAATGTCATATCTATAAATTATATAAATATATTTATATTTTCATAATTATTTTCTAAGTTTCATTAAATTTAGTTTCATTTATTATATTATTATTATTATTATTATTATATTTAATACAAAACGATATAATATAAAATGTATATGTATGTTTTATATTATTTTATTTATAATAATAAACAAAAATTATTAAAGATAAATATCTTTTTTAATAAGAATAATAATAACGCTTGTAAATAAATTACATAAATTTCAAGTTCAGCAAAACTTGGCTTCACCTATTTTCTGCCAGTATTAATATCTTCTAGCAAATTATATGTGTGAATTAAGTAAAGAACTTATATGTATATAAAATATATACATGTGTATGTTTTAAAATTTTATTGTTTAAAAATAAATATACAATTACAAATAATTATTAATTTTATATATAAATATAAATAAGTATATTCCAATTCTTCGAGTGCTTTATATTTTTATATATTTGAATTAGTAGTGGATTCATTAAAGATCAAAGATTCATTGCTTAGTGACCTTTATATCTATTAACATAATGTTAACCTTTGCCTGCAATGAAAAGCAATCAGTTGATACATATTCATAAAGTCATTTTTTAATTCAACTTTACGAAATTGCAATAATAGTTTCATTAATTTAGTTGGTAGCGCATATTTTTGCGCTTTGAAAGAAAAATTTCTATTTCGATCAGATATTCTTATTAATATTGAATGACAATATGTACGTGTTTGAGATATTAAAAAACTTATTTCTAAACTTATTTACTTTCATACCATAAATATTTTGCTCATATTCACTTTTAATGTGTTTTTGTGTTACTGCCATTGACAATTATGTTATTCCGAAAATGTTTTTTTGGCAGATTATTCAACATATTCAGATTATAAATTAACTATATTCTATTGTAATTATTATCGTGAAATATGGATAACGTGACAGTAAGTATTTAAATTTTTGTATTTAAATTTTATTTTAAATACAAAAATATGATTTTCCTAACCTTACATAATAATCAGATTTTTATCATAATTTTTTCTTTTTAATTATTTTTTTTTTATATAATTTTGTAATTAAATATATTCTATATTATATATTTTTATAATATAAATTTTTTATGAAATAAAAGTAGAATTAAAATTGATTTTAAAAAAAAAATCTTTTTTTATTTTAGGGAATAATACATGCCATGTATAGAGGATTTGTGGATAGTTTGAGAGGAGCTATTGTCTTATTTTATATGGACAAACGAATTAATGAAAAATTATCTAAACCACTCTTAAATAAAACAGAAAATCATGGAAAAGACATAGCAGTCATACCTCATCCTCCAAAACATTTTAATCACTTAAGGTATATAGTTAAATTATATAATAAAATATATGAAAATTTTAATATTTTATATCTTTATGTGTATATTATAATGCATTTTCAGAGAATCAAAAGTGTTAAAAAGAACAATTCAATGTTGTGCTTTAAATGGTGGTGTATTTTGGGCCAGCATATTAATTTTTGAATGTGGTTTACTTCCATTTCTCAAGTACTTATTGACCATTATATTTGGTCATTCACCGGGTATGGGTATGACTGTGTGGTCTTGGATGAAACCATTTCTGTCATTAACTTTTGGCACTGTATGGGTACTACCACTATTTGTGCTCAGTAGGATAGTCAACAGTTTATGGTTTCAGGTATGAGTTATTTGATCTCAGAACGAGAAGCTTTGGCCAGTAACCATTGAAGGGGTTAATATCACATGCTATATTTGTAAACCATGTAGGACATAGCGGACAGTGCTTATAGGTATAGACAAGGACGGCCATTACTTTTATCTAGTGTGAGCAAGCTCGTAGCAGACACGCTTTTCAGTATATTGGTTCAAGCATTATTTTTGGGTCAAGGAATGTTGGTATCCAGGATTCCATTACCTCTTATAGGTGACATTCTTGCCCTTATACATATGTGCCTTTTATATGCTCTCTATGCTTTTGAATACAAATGGTTCAATATGGGTTGGGAGCTACATAGACGATTAAGTTTTATTGAAAGTAATTGGCCATATTTTGTGGGTTTTGGTCTGCCATTAGCAGTACTTACCCAACTGCCCAGTTCATATGTAATAAGGTAATTGATTTCTTTAAATATCACATTTCCTATGCAGGAATATTACTAATTAATCTATTGTTATTTTAGTGGCTGTGTTTTTTCTATATTGTTCCCGTTATTTATTGTAAGTGGAAATGAAGCAGTACCTGTGACTGGAGTATGGTATGTATGATATACTTTTGTAAATTATATATTTTATTAAACTATGTACAAATTACTTTTTGTTTCAGTGATTGTCCATTAAAATTATTTTCACCGGTAATTGCTATTGCAAATACTCTTTTCAATAAAACAATTGGACCAACGAATAGACGGTGACATGAAAGAACATAAACAAATTTTTTTAAAATAACTAAATATATAGCAATAAACCGTCTTTTCAGGTTTTCATATAAATTTTATTAATTTTGATGAAGTATATGCTTAATTAATTTTCTTGTGTTAACTTTTATATAATCAAATTGAAAAGAAAAGTTTTCATTTTATTCATTTTCTATAATAATATAATTGAAATTTAAGACATAACTTATGTTTTAATAGTGATATTTATAAAATTAGATAAATTCATAGATATCCAAAAATGAATTATAATAAAGAATAGTATTTGTAAATGCATTATATCTAAGTAAAAGTTATTGAAGATACAAAAAATTTATAAATTTGGTAACATTTGAAAAATTAGTTATAGATATTCTTTATTATATTATAAGAAATTAAAATAACTTGAAGTTTTATACATTTTTATTATTACTATTAAAACATGATAAAAATAATATGCTTTAATAGAATAATTGCGTATATAAAAAAAATTCCTAATATCTTTTATAAATTATATAACTAAAAGAAATCAAATAGCGTTGCCTAAAAATTTGCACAACTAAAAATAATTTTTGGATTAAGTTAATTAATATATATATATATTAATTATATATTAAATATATATATATATATATATATATATATGTATACATATGTTTATGTATTCAATTTTTAATTTTTATCTAAATTTGTCAAAGTATATGTTACTTTATACAATATAATAAACTTATCACTAATGATAGATATTTTAGTAATTTGTATATTGCTACTTCTAAGAAAATAAATGTAAACGTAAGGAAGAAAAAAAATAAAAAAAAATAGAAGCAAATATCATTTCAATATTTTGTAATCAATTTACTAATTGTATTTGATATTTTGTTATTTTATATCACTATGATATTGTAACTAGTCAACTTTAAAAGTCTTAAGTAATATGTGATAATATTTATTGCAAAATATTTACAACTAAAACATCCATTTAATTATATACATCAAATAGTAGAAGAGAGATGTTTTTATGATACATGTGTATATTAGTTGTATATTAATGACATTTAAGTAAAATTTATTTAAAATATATTTTGCAGTGTAGTTAAAATTATAATATGTATATCAAGAAAATATTTACAAAGTATTTGTTTCGTAAATAATTTTTATGTTACTTATCGCAACTTTATTTATACATTATTTCAATAAAATAGAAAAATATTTATAAAGAATAAATTGCTTTATATATTGTAGTTTAATAAATAATATAAAGAGATTTTTAGAATGAATGTTGCTAATTTTAAAAATTTTCCAATTTTTTGTAAATATATAATTTAAAGATTAATGTTTGATAATAATGAAATGTGCGTATTGTATCAATACATAAAGCAAAATATTTTTTTCTGAAAAATTTTTTATCGACATATAAAGATCACGAGAGAAGTTCTTGAAGAGCTAAAAGATCATTATCAGAAGGTTCTTCTTTAATTCTATATGAATTTGCTAATGCATAATGCCTATGCAAAGCAGCAAATCCAAGTCCAGGATCTGTTTCTTCTTCTATTACTGGACTTGTTCCTCTTTCTATTGGTTGATTCTTGCTTACCTACATTTATTAGTTAAAATTATTATTTTAATTATTATTTAAAATTATTATTAATGAATAATCATAATTACATACTTCGAAACGTTGTTGTTTGTACATAGCTAATTTACGAGTTCCAGGTGTGCTTTGAATAAGATTTTGTATAGTAGGATGTGAAATTCCAAAAAAATCAGCTCCTTTTGGCGTTATTGAACGAAGTGCAGGAGAAATTGCCATTAATAGTTTAGAATGACATTCATCAGGAGTAGATCCAACTAATGGTTGGTCTAGATCATTATCAGATACAATTTCAAATCTACAATACAAAATATTTTATATCTATACATATTATAGTTATAATTGTATTAATTATTAATGCAATTATACCTTGGTTTTGATCCACCATCTAATATTTTACATGTATATAAACTTTTTGTTCTTACATCTCTTAAATTAGCATATATTCTAGTGCTGCAATAACCTACTGGATAAATGAGATCTTCTGTGTGATAAGCAATTCTGTCTGATACTACTTCTCCAAGCGAGTAAACAGTAAGATCACCCAAAGAAATAGGAAATATAGGTCTTCCATGGACATCTAATGGTATTAATTGAACTACTTTCCTTGCAGTTTTATTATAACGCTTAGCTTTATTTTTTGGTTCTAAAAATGTTGAAAAGTTATAATTTTTCAAAATAATAAAACATAATTTAAATTAGAATATTTTAATACCTGAGCCATCAGTCGATATTCTTTTTTTTGTAGTTTTTTTAGGTGTGGAACATTCTGGATTAAATGTATTAGTATTAATATTGTTTGATTGAGATCGAGCTATCATAGTAGAAGGATCTATATCTCCTTGTTGTTGACATAATTTACGTAAAAGAAACAATCTTTCTTCTTTCACAAGCATAAGATTTTCTTGCATTTGTGCAACCTGATCACATAATGCTGCATTTTCCTATAATTATAAAGTTTTTTATAATTTTTGTAATAATAATTAAATTTGTTATTGTGTATTCTCTTTTATTTGCATTTACTTTTATTTAAAATAATAATTATTTTTATGAAAAAAGGAAAAAAATATTATGACAGAAATATATTAAAAATCTTACGAATACTGTATCTTTTATAATCCTTTTTAATCTTCGATATTTTTTTTTTATATTTTAAATTTTGCTGCAATTCAGCATTTTTCTGAAATTCACTGTAATAATTATCATAAGCTTGAGTCATTTTAAATTCATTATATTAAACACAAAATACAAAGACGAGGTTATGATCTAATGATATTTGTGATTATTTTTATTAGATATGTTAGGTTATGTTACAATCTAGGATTATGCAAAGGATAAGATAGTGAATAACTAAACAAATTTATCATATATGATTTTACATTTATGCATATTTTGATTATTACTTAATATTCAAGATGATACCGGTCATATGTTTATTATTAGATGAAAAAAAATAATTTTTATATTTTTTCATTTATATATTAAAATTTGTTCATTAAAACTTATTTATAATTCTTTATATTTTGAATTTTTTCAATTATATTTGTTGTTTATTAAAAACTTATATAATATATTAAAAATATTTACTCTTTTTGTCTGTAATATTTTTAATTATTTTCTAATTTTTTCAAAATACTTTTCAATTTATTTTTCAATACTATATCATAAAAATTAAAATAAAATAAATTTATAATTTATATTTTATTTTAATATAAAATAAAATAGATAAGATTATTGGTATAAATAAGATAAAATAGGAATTTTATTTTAAATAAGCTATTGAATTTGTTAAATCTATTAAGTTATAATTTAAATTAATTAAAAAAAAAATGTATATACATATATTTGCATGTATTCTGTTCATTTTATTTATTTATTATACGAAGAAGGAAGATTCTGGGGCATAAAAGATAAGATGTTGATTTTATTTCGAAAATACGATTTATTAACCTGTCGAACGTAAATTCTGTAACGCGCGTTCGCACGCACAATGTTTTCTCTGTCATGCTCGTTTCTACATTTTCACGCACGCGGTATACAAAATCTATATTGTAAACATCGTGACGCGTAGCTTATCTGTTAGACGTAGATTATCCTAGAAATCGGGTTTTTAAGTTCTATATCGATTCCAGTATTTCAAATCATCGAAAAATTCTCTTTATGCAATTTAATGCGCAAGTTGCGAAGGGACACGTGTTTAGGTACATCCACATTATCTCCCTCTCTCTCGATTCTTTTCTATTTGTTATATCTTTTTTAATTTCGTTTGTATTTTTAAATAGTGCAATATTTCAAATATTTATCAGAAATCATTATTTAAAAAAGAATTTATTATATATATATTTGCAGTTGATTTACGGCGAAAAAAAAAGGAATCATCGTTTGAATCAAAAAACTGTTTTTAAAAGTTATTTTAACTTTTGAATTTAGCGACTGAAATGGCCAATAAATTATTTATTATATGTATATCATATTTATTATACATATATCATTTAATTTCACAATATGGATATAACTTTAAAAAAGTTTTTTTATCAATAAAATTGTATTTTATTATATTCATCAAATGAAAAAAATTAATTCTAAAATTTATTAGTCTTTTCTAAAAAATCTTTCTAAAAAATATACTTATGATGAGAGAGAGAGAGAGAGAGAGAGAGAGAGAGAGAGAGAGAGAGAGAGAGAGAGAGAGAGAGAGAGAGAGAGAGAGAGAGAGAGAGAGAGA